TGCACTCTTCCTTCACGCCTTGTTTTGACCGATTTATTGCATGTGTGCGCAACCTCTCCCCCGTATCCATGTGGAAGGAAGATTTGCACCGCGCCGTCTGCCGGGCAGGCTGGGTCCAGCTGGACGCCTTGCGCGCAAGGTCACGGAAACTATTTTGGGTTCCTTTAGGAAAAACGTAGAGGAAATTGATTTCCGGAATAGAAACTTTGGGAACAGGCATTTGGATAGGCTACCCTATATAACCCCTATATAATATATTAGTTTCCATTTACTTTCCATCATCCCAATTTTCACAATGCCAGCTCCAGGCCCGCAGATTCTCATGACAAGCACCGCCCGCAAAGGAACCCTGCTGAGCCTCTTGTGTCCCAGACTACTATATCATCATTGGGATTATATAGGGATTGTATGGGGACAATGGAACAGAAAATGGAAACTACTATAATATAATAAGGTATATATATACCCAATATAATCCCCTATATAACCCCCTTTAAGGAGTTTAGACTATAGCTTATATGGGGATAGCCATTTTCTACAAAGACCACCCAGCAGCAGGAGGCTTTTCCAGGCCTTCTTAGGCCTTCAACGAGAACCGAGTCTCGCCTGCCCAGCTTGCGGAATATTGGGTGATATGGGGTAATGTGGGGTAATATGCGGTCATATGGGATAATAGGGGGTCATATGGGGTAATATGCGATAATATTGGGTAATATGGGGTCATATTGGGTTATATTGGGTAATATGGGATAATATTATGCGCAGGCAGATGGCTCCCTTGCTGGCTTGTCTGGAGTGTTGTCCTTTCATGGATTTGCTGCACAATCTATATATAGTCCCTATATAACCCCATATAATATGATAGTTTGCATCTTATTTCTCTTTATACCAGTATACAGTATACCCCCAATATATTACAGCAGTTTCCATTCTCTTTTCCATTATCTCCATATAACCCATAAGGCGTGCTGATGGCAGGTCTTGTTTTTTGCTAGGTATCCCTGTTTTTTCTGCGCACGACACGTGCCTTTCTCGAAGAAACCCACAATCTGATTTGCCGCGGCCACACCAGCGTTGTCATTTGCCTGAACAACCGCAAGACTCAAGACCGATGACATGCTCCGCATTGCAATCCTCGAACATCAATCCTGACGCTAGACACCTGTGAATGCTCAAGTTTGTCCTGTCAGTCAGACTGTGTCCTGTGCATGTCAGATAGGATGTCAACGAGAAAGCTAGGTAATTTTCAGTATCGTCCCGTCATATGTCATAGTCCTCACGAAACTATAGTAGACGATACTCAAAAAAATCCTGCTCAAATTATCTAAGCCCCTGGACGTACTCAGACCAGGCCAGGCCAATGTAACCTCGTATTCTCCCTGACTGAACATCAAATCCCTAATTTGATGGTGCATAAGATCTGCATTACCAATCTTCCCTTCCACACCTCGAACACATGCTCAAAAAACGCACGCCGCGTAAGATGTACGTTGCCTACACGTCACCGCAACTACAAACTACCTGGCAGCGTCGAGCAAGCACTTCAGTGAAAGTGACCTATGACTAGAATAACTCGAGCCATATTTCCAACACAAAATCTTACGTATCATTACCGATAGAAAGCCCTTATGTAATCCCTGTAACCTCTTACCCTACCTACTTCTTCGAAACCACGACCTTCTAAGCACCGACTGAGCCTCAGCAGTCTGCGCGCCCATCTTCTTCTTGGTGAAGATCAATCGCTTGCCATACCTCGGTGACCTAGCCTACTCCCAACACTCGCATAGTACAAAGTCTTTCCATACACACTATGGCTGAAGAACGGTTCTCCCTCACAGGTTTGCAACAGAAAGACACTGATTACGAGAAGCTACCGTGACGAAAACCTCATATCATACCATCACCCTCACATCCCACCGGAGATGACGTTGGAACTGAATATCATTATCATCATCATCATCATAATCATCATCATCCTCATCCTACTATTTGATCCCATGAATGCTTGTGTCTGTTTTTACATACACAGCTTAAGCGCCCCAAGCCCATAAATGGATCCTAAACTTGGAATTACCTACTTGAACCGAACGAAGCTGCCTGCGGAAAAAATGTCCAACACCAAGGTCCACATGCCACAGGGTTCAAAGGCACAGGTTTGCAGCTACTATTCAAAATTGCAACAGACCCTGTTCGAGTCCCAGAGGCTGCTGGAATGATACCAAATTTTAGCCAACTTGATTGATTCTTGCCTCATAGTATTCCTGCAAACCTCATCTTAGCCATGGTCATAACATAAGTGTGTTGAGCATTCTCATCATGGCGGACTCTGACGGATCTGCCACACTCGCCCCTGAAGGCAAAGTTGGCGAAAGAACGGGGTGTTGCCCCACCAGCTTCAGTAACATCCAGTCTGCCGATCAGAATGCTTTGCACAGCTAACGCCGCACTGCACAAACATGCGCGATCATGCACAGACATTAGCTGCGCAATCACTTGCTCAAGCTCAAGCACAATTTAGAGGCACCTCACGACTCACGAAAACGGTAAGAAAACTTCACTTCATAGCTGACCAAACGAAAACCTCATGAAAACCTCAGATCATGCCATCAACTTCACATCCCATCCGATACGATCTCATCACACCCTTCACATCATCCCATCAATCCAACCGCACGCCATCCTGTCAATCAAATCAAGCCATCCTGTCGGACAACAACCTCCACAAAAAGCAAAACGCCACGCTTCCGGGTAAAACTGTCAAGTGATGCCATGGCATTCTGATGACTACAATCTAGTTGTGATTGCTTGGTAGTTTGCTGCCTTTCCGGCTGAGAGATTTGCCGACTCAAAGGGTTCAAAACGCTGGCACACCATGCATGATGACCCATTGCTCGTATGAATAGGAATAAAAGCAATAAGAGCAATAGCAAAGGAGCATCTCCTGGTTCCTAGTTCTCCTGGTCAGCACAAGGTCTCGTGAGACCCTACACGTGAGATTATTTCGTCGGCTTGCAACTTGCCCCCTAAGGACATGGATGTTATCTGAAGCCAGGATGCTTGTCGCCCACAGCTGCCTTGAAGGGCTCAATGTCCTGCGAGGCAATGCAATGAGCTGTTCAGGTGTGTCGAGGGCTTGCTTTTCAACACTGATGCCTTTTTTTGGAAAACTAAAGGGTATGCACAAGTGCCTAAGACAATAGCAACGCTCAAGCGCATCTGCCACTCAGTGGCTGTGGGACAAACAGCTGAGTCATCAGGCACAAGGGGGAGTCTGCATCATCCCCTTTGGGGATCTACATGGTCCCACAAGGAATCCCAAGTGTGTGGCCCCTGGGCAAGGCCTCCTGAGAGTCGGCCCCATCAGGAAGACTAGCACTAGCAGCTCCCAGATGGAGTCTTGGGCTTTGTGAACCCTGTACTGTACTTGTATTACAAGCTGAGCCAGAACTTGTCAGAAAAGCACTGCACCAACGCTTCACATGCTGAACGATCACCCTCCACGCCCTTCTGGATGTAGTCCTTGGTGGTCGCCGGGTCATGATATGAATGCGTGTATTTGCATGCACTTTAGGCATAATCCAACACCAAGGAATGTCCGAAGGGCTTCTACAATCCAATATAATCTAATCCCGCATGGCGAGGTGCACCTGCAGAGCTATGATTCCTCCAAGACCCTGCTATGTCTCTCATCGCAAAACTTCGTCTTAAGAACCGGCAGCTATCACACCTGGACTGCCGAGAGTATCAGGCTCCGCCCTTGTCAGAGTACCTAGAGAATATGGTAGTTTCCCAAAATTAGGGTACCCCAATATAGACCCCAAAATACTATAGCCCTTATTATAGGGACCCCCACAAAGTACCTCTAATTTTTGGGAAACCCCCGTATCTGAGTCTGGGTTTGACAACCGCTCGCAGGAAAAAATTGAAGCAACACTTTGATCTGCGGAGCATCAGGCTGGCTCTGGCGAGAATTGCTGTCTACACGAAACCCAGAAAGCCTTATCATCAATTTCCAAAAGGAGCATGGAAAACAGAATCACAGTCCACACTGGGCTAGATTGCGCGGCCCCAGAAAAAATCTGGTTTTCTGGCTTCATAAGGGTTATATAGAAATTAAGGGTAACCAAAAATCACAATTTATTTTCAAACTTACACCAGCTTGTTGAGCTATAGTCTAAGCTCCTAGTATCCCCCTACATAACCCTAGTATCCCCCTACATAACCCCTATACTGCTCCTGATATTGGGGTAATATAGGGATAATGGAAAATAAAATGGAAACTACAATAGTATATTGGGGTAATATAGGGATAATGGAAAATAAAATGGAAACTACAATTAAATAATTCCCTATACAACCCTCTTTAAGGACTTTAGACCCTGAACCCTAAACCCTAAATTGTGTGAGGATGTCACCTGGAAAATGGCCTGGAGAGGCGACGCCGCCGGGGAGGTTTACGGGTGGAACACAAGGACAAGTGAGCTTTGCTCTTTCTAGGATCCTCCTTAATAAGCCCTACTATAGGGTTTAGGGTTTGGGGTTAAGGGTTTAGAGTCCAAACTCCAAGTATCCCCCTCAATAAGAACTATAATAGTCCCCTACATATTCCTCCTAAACAACACCCTGTTAAAGAGTTGAGATTATGGCTCGAGTAAGGGTGCATTGTGACATAGCTCACATGCCTGCAGGCACTTCCCTACGAAGACTGCTCCTGCACATGAACAATGTATCTTTTTTTGGAGCGGCCTTCTCAGTTTGGACAAATATGATCTAAGTCCTAAGCCCACATCGCACTCAACATACGGGTTGTTCTCAAAATTATGGGCCCCTTTTGGTTGTAGGTTATATTACGTCACCTAATATCTAGGGTACCAAAATGGGACCCTAATTTTGGGAACCACCCATACTCCTAAGACAAAGACGAGGGTCAGGTACCCTCATCTCCTGTGCCAAGACCAGGGCTGTCGCTCCACGGCGATTCTCCTGTAAGGACGGGTATTTCATTGAAGCGCGGGGCTCTTTTTTGGGAACCTGTTGCTGGGGGTTCTTTGCCAACAGAATCCAGTTGCTGAGACATAGCCACTTTTGAGCTTTTTGGATCCTTTTTGGCGCATCATAAAAGCATTGCACCATCTTCTCTGCCCTACGTTTGAGTCTGATCCCCAGGTCTCCACATCTTCTCGGACGCCAGCAGCTAGCAGAACTGCTGCAGCCTGGTGCGAGCAGGACAAGACTGAAGTCTCGAGAGGTTCGGGTTTCTCAAAATAGGACCCCAACGGACCCCAGGGATATCTAGGAATCAATATGTAAGGAGATTATGGTTGTTCGTCTTAAAGACTGTATTGAGAAACTCCCATGTCTTGGCACTTGCCTCGAATGAGGAAGTGATGAGGCTTAGCATCAGCGGCGTCGCGCCACAGTGGTGGTAAGCAAAGGCGCTCAGGGTTGACTTCGACCAACGGTGCCGAATGCTGAAAAAGCTGAGGATCAGCCCAAAAAGGCTGCGCTTTGGCACAGACATCTGCAGATTCACATCCGCCTGCGCCTCAATGAGCATGGACACAGCATCCGCAGATCCTCCTCCGAAGAAGAAGACCGCAGGCAAGCTTTTGGCAATGACCTCCCTGGGTGCAATCGGAATAAGCTCACGGAGGACGTCAAAGCTGTTTGTGGCAGCAGCGATCTCGAGTGGCACGTGTCCGGTCCGAACGGGACGCATCGGGCTGCACCCGGCCTCCATCAAGATTCGAACCTGGGCTGAAACCAGTTGAAATCCCGGTCACTGTCCTACACACTTCGGGAGATCAAACCAAACAATGCCCAACAATTGTTTCCTTCGAGCATGTCCACCCTAAAGTGTGGTTGTCCAATACTCCGCCTATCTCCGGGGACATAAAAGTTTCCGTTGTCGTACAAAACCATAGGGTCTCCTACAACGGTTAAATAGGGTCCGCTTACAGGGGTTCTAGGGGCTATGTCGGGTCTCCTGCAAGGCTTACAGGCCTACATAAGGTCCACTGAGGGGTGATAAGGGTTATATCAGGGTCTCTTTGAAGGGGCTTTAAGGCCTATAGAGGGCCGGTTGAAGGGGTTATAGGAATGGTTGTAGCGGGTGCGTTGAAAGAGATTAAAGTGAGAGAGGTTATAGTGCCTGCACAGGGGCCCTTTTCTAAGGGGTTAGACGGGCTACATCGGATCTTTTGCTACAAGGCCTACATAGGTCCCTTTAAAGTCGTAAGGCCTACATATGGTCCCTTCAAAGGGTTTACAATGGCTCTATAGGGGCCTTTGAAGGGGTCATGAGGCCTGCATAACGTCCCTTTCAAGGGGTTGCAAGGACGATATGTGGTACTTTAAAAAGGTTAGAAGGTCTACATAAGGTCTTTGTAAAGGGTCTAAAAGGGCTGCAAAGGGTGCCTTACAAAGCTTGTAGGGATACTGCGCGGTTGGGCACATGCAGTAATCTGGCACTGCAGGGATACCCTGCGGTGGTGCACTGCAAGGATACTCTGCGGTTGGGGACTGCAGGGATACTTTGCGGTCACTGCAAGCATACCCAGGGTGGGAAAACATCCCGGGTCCCAAAGCACAGCCAAGCAACTGCCTCTGAGTTATTGGAGGATGCCGCCCAGTGCATGGAAGCCGCCCCATTTGTGTCTGTCGCATCAGCGTCAGCCTTGAAGACCAACAAAACTTTCATCGCTTCGTTGTGGTGAAGGTAAACACAAGCCTGAAGCACCGTCATGCCACTGATGCTTGGCCTGGGTTGCTGTGAAGGAACTTAGACTAGCTTACTATAATGGGGATATGTATTAAACAAGAATGTTTCCCCAATATAGTAACTTAAACTAAGTTCCGTAATAGCAACCAAGCGGCAGGAGCTGTCCCTCAACCCTCTTGAGGCGGTCGTTTGGGTTGGCACGAGCCTCCAAAAGGGCTGCCACCAGCAACGGACTGCCTCCCAAGACCTGTGACACTGAAAGTGACAGCAATTCAACCCAAATCCCTGAACCCTAAACCCATCTAAACCCAAACTACACCCTATCTATATGTGTATATTTATAGAAACCCCCATATATCCCCTGAAAGGGACCTAGCTCATGTGCTTGGAATGAAGGTAGCTGGATAGACACAAGGTGAGCTGGGGTTAAGGATTTAAGGTCTAAACTCTTTAAAAAGGGTCGTATAAGGGAGTATTATAAGGTCTATTCGGGGAATACTAGGAGTCTAGACTATTGTTCAGATGGCTCCCACAAAATGCAACCCCAAACTAACCACACACTGAAATGGACCCTGGCACGGCAATTTTGAGACATGCCCACTCAACAGAAAAGCGACAAAGCAAGCCACCTTTTGAGACATTTTGCTAAACAACTCTGGATCCCTCAACCAAGACTTTAAAAAATCCCCACTTGCATGTCCCAGCGACAGCATAGCAAAGCGGACTCCATCCCGTCTCGCTAAGTGCGCTTACATGGGGAAGGCCTATCTCATGCAGGAACTGCTCCAGGGGAAACTGTGCCGGGTCCACTTGCCAGGAGCGAAATCCCGGAATCGCATTCTCGATGATATCTGTCGGAAGATTTCTATAGATCACCCTTTGCAGGTTCAAGAGGACACGATAATGATGAATTTCCTGACGAAACAGGAAAACCTGCAGATTTCTGTTCACCAAGCCCTTTAAAACCTGGGCAGCGTGTCGTGCATCTGCCGGGTCTGAGAAGTCCCCCAGACCCACTGGTTGCACCAGCCAATCACCAATGTGAGAACAGGCTTGATGAGTGCCGCTGTAGATTTCGACTGTCAATTGCCTGGGTTGCTATTAAGGAACTCGAATTAAGATACCATAATGGGTAAATATAATAAATAAGATGACTTCCCCAATATAATAACTTAAACTAAGTTACCATAATGGGTATAAACTAAGTTACCATCATGGGTATATATGATAATTGATATTGCTTCAGGGCCGCTACGCCCCAATTCCTGGACCTTTGCACTCGCAAACGCAAGTGGTACTGGGTATGTGGCAGGGTTTCCGCCTGAGCGCAGGGTGGAGGGAGCATTCCGTTCTTGCATTATGCCATAAGGAATGCGAAACGACCGCACGGCATCCGTACCTGAACGCTCCACCAATTACTCAACTTTACGCAAAAAGTTTTTTTAGAAACCCTGTCGCCAAGCCGTAAGGGATGGGGAAGCTTCAGTTGTGGTGAGGTCATCGGGCAGCGTAATTGTCCGCCCACTCATGCCTCCAGATCAGTTTCCGTCACGCCTTTGAGCCATAGAGGTCGCAGACTCGTCCGCCCTCTATCGTGGAATGCAGGGCACCTTGGCAATCAGCAGTGGACTGAGGTCCGTGATTGGTCGAGATCTGAGCCAGCAGCCGCGTGTGACGCACGGGTACTCCCGATGTTTTTCTCACGAGGTTCTTGTTAGACGAGTCTCTTTCAAGGAAGGAATCCTTTTCATTCTCGCAGAAGCATTTGAGTTCCCTACCTGCCTCTTTTGATTATATCCGCAATGTGTTGAGAGATTTGCATTCAGGGTCTTTGTACACTGGTCCGCGGCTTCAGTCCGCCAAGCTGCAAAGCCACGAGAGGTGCATCAAACGTTCCAGCAGAGAAACGCATCAACACCTGTTCTGCGAATGCTCGGGCTATGCCGAGCTTACGCTTGATAGGGGTTCTGAACCAAATTTGTCGTGGTTTACAGGCATCATGTTTGAGCCCCCGGATATCATTGCTTCAAGGGTCAATGCAGCTACTCAACCCATTACCCGCCCAGCGGGAGAACGATATCACGTAGATGGGCCAGTTTTCGTGGATGGGTCATGTTTTTTTTTTTCTTTTTTTCCAGCGTTGGCGTCGTTTGAGGGCTGGCGCTTGTGCTGCGGTCGTTAAGGGGTATAAAACGTTCGTGACGCCCATGCCCGGGCCAGATATCACTTCACAAAGGTGTGAAATTCTGGCAGCCGCCATGGCCATGCATGTTACAACTGGTAACATCGAAATTGTGTCTGACTGTTCTGCAGTCGTTCAACGCACCACATTTTTGCAGAGATTCGACCCTTGATGGACTTACACTTGGGACAATGCAGATTTGTGGGCTGTTTTACGCGAGGCTGCTCGTAAACATAATGGCAACATCTCCATCACAAAGGTCAAAGCGCACATTGGCACGGATGATTTACGGCAGCCTGCTTTCCTCACCCAAGGCAATCAAGAAGCCGACGCTGCAGCTAAGGCTGAAGCCAAAGCTATTTTCGAACACAAGTTGTCACTATGGTCTGGTCATCTTGAGAGAGCAGTGAGCATTCAACTACACCTTGTGAGAACTGTGGTTGCCAGGTCTAGGGAAGCAAAGGTGTTTACGGGTTCGAAGACCCGGAAGAAAGCTTCAAACCGTACAGTTCAGCTCGCAAAGTATGTACTTGCAAACCTGTTCGAAGGTTGGGAAAAAAGTCCCCTCGTCAATGTTATGGGTTTTGTGAGGCTGTCAATATCAGGGTCGGGGAGTTGGAAGATAAAGTCATTAGTTTATGTTCCCTGGGTTTGCCTTTTCCCCTGCCCTCAATTTTGCCCTCCAAGTACGCTTCCCAACTTTCAAGTCACAGTTCATTCATCCTGCTTCGTTGTCCTTTTAGGCATGGCCTTGCCATGGTGTTGAAAGCATAACTTCTGGACCAGGATCCATACCCCATGTTGCAGCTGATGCAATCCGGGATTATCTTCAATCAGCGCGTTGGGCCCTGGCTCCAGAGGGTTGAGCACACGGCTACGTGGCTACAACTGTTGTTGGATTTTATGGCCCACCATGGCCTGCAGCCAGGGCGGTTCAGCGAACGCATGTCCCTCAACAGAATGGTTAGCCAGTTCAAAGCTGCCTTCTTGAAGTTGGCGCTCTCAAATGATATACCCGTGATCGGTACGAATCGGATCCGTCACTTGAAGTGCTTCGGCTTGGCCAGCCAGGGTGGGTTTTACGGAAGGGTTAATTTTGATTCCTACCCTCATCAGTGGTTTGTCCTTGCCCAATTCGTTAAGCATTCTGATGAGAGAGGCCTCGTAGCGAAATACTCCAAACCTATTGCTCATTGGAAGCCGACTTTAGCAAGTTTCGACGTCATTCCTCTTTCAAGTGGGAGCCTCTCTTTCAGTTAAGCCCTTCAATCGGAGAAAAGTCAGCCGCCGAGCGGTCAAGGCAGCATTGCGCAGGAAAAAGGTAGCTCGGCCTTTGCGCTAATGGCAGTTCATCAACATGTGCGGTCGTCAGCCAAAAGCTCCCAGCACAATCAAAAGGACAAACCCTCGTTGTTAGCTAAGCGCTTTGCCAACCGTTTCTTGGCAGGTGTAGATGAGGCCATCGCTGAAGCCGAGGGTTCCTCGCATGTACCATACTCCACCATTCACCATTGAGCTACTCAAGCCATGGCAAGCGCCTACCCGAGCCCAGCTCAAGGACGACCAAGGTCGGCTAACGAGCGCGGGAACAGAGCTGGGTCAGCTACACGGTCAGTGCCTCCTTGAGCGACTATCTGACTTCAGTAGAATCAGAGGTCTTGCTGTCAGGCCTGCTAGACGCCGACCTCTGCCTCATACCCAAGCCTGGAAAGCCTGCGGACAAACCCAAAAACCTGCGTCCGCTTGGTATACTCAGGCCGGACATATGCGCGTGATGTTCCGCAGTTCGCCTACCTGCCGGGCCGCGGCTCGTAAGGCACGTACGCGAGGTGAGGGCTACGCGGCACTGCCTCGCCCAGCCCACACGCGCTGAGGGAGGGAGCACTGCGCCCTGATGGAACAAGTTTGCAGCCTTGCTTGATGCTCGCGGTTGTCTCAACCTTGGTAATCTCGCCTGGGCTGATAGGCTGTGCGAGGAGCCATGGTGCAAGGCATGAACCAGGGAAGTCAGCTCCTAATCTGCCCCCAGCTCAGCAAGCAGGTCAATAATCTCACGTTTTGACACAGCGTCAACAGCCTGGGAAAGGCCCAGGGCAAATACCATCCCTCCAGTCTCTTCACGCTCCTGACTGGTAAGCTCTATAAGGAGCCAGTAGCCCTTTTTGGGAAATGCAAGGTTTCGGGATTACTTTACTGGTTACTGATGATCTTACCATACACAAACCCATCCGCTCGGTGGCTGAGTTGAGGAATCCTGATCCGTGCGCTAGCATGCCTCGAACAACACAAGCTTTTCCGAAACAGCTCAAAGTGCTACATCTTGGCTAAATTTGCAGGAAGGATGGCCCCCGCGGTCCCTAAACTGTACACAGCTTGGACCACAGACAAGCAGGGCGCCAAGGTTGACATATGGCACATAGGCAAAACCAAGTACTTTCCTGCCTTCAAGTGGGTCTCTGAACTGAAGTATCTAGAGATTAGGGCTTCCTACGGACATTTCGAGATGCTCACGCTGCAGTTCAAAATCAACGAGGCCAAGCAAAACTGCACCTAATGCGGAAATTTGTGTATAACAGGCGCGTCGCGGGCTGAGTTTCCAGATTGCGGGTTTGGCTTACTGTAATATGGCCCACTTTATCGTTCGGGATGTCCGAAGTTGGAATCACCCAGGAGTCAGCTAGGGCTTTGAAGGCACAGTATGCCTTTAAGCTCCGTTCTGTCCTGAGTAAACCAGTACATCTTACACGTGACCACCTCAGAACTCTTTGAGCAGCTCTCTGTGGAGGACCCAGTAGCTAAGCTGTGGAGACTTCAGGGCAACCGTTCGCGCCCGCAGTAGCCTGGAGCTTGACATTACATGCGATGAGAGTACCTTGGAGCATTCACAGCAAATGGTCGCCTTGCTGCCTCGCACAGAAATGACCTCCCCTTAGCTGACAGTTCGACTGCGCTCTCCCAAGAGTGGCTGAGCGCATGGACTCAAGCTTGACAAAACTCGAAGTCACCCTAGACAATTGACAAGTTTGCTCCTTCTCGGTTTGACAGATCTGTTCATGCTGACAGTGGTGTGCCCACGCTCCGTCCTGTAAGCGGTCTTTTAAACAATGGGCGGGGCTCCTGTCGCATCTCTTGTCAGGGGCATGTCCTAATCCGCAAGCACTCAGGGACCTGGAGGCGGCACCTGCTCAGGACCAATCTAGCCTCCTGGGTCAATTACGTGTGTTAGTCAGTGCTGCCCTCAGACCATGCCTAGTATGCGGGCTTTGGTCTCAGGACTACACTAAGATCAGGTCTCATATCAGGAAGGTTCAATGCTCGGAGTGGCAGTCGGTGCATGATAGCACCCTACAAACCTGTGGCTGCCTTTCGACTTTGGCCCCCAAAGGCTGTCTTGTCCATTTTGCAAGCATGCTGCTCATAACAAGAATAAGCACTGCGGTCAGTGCCAGGTTTTCTTCGAGCTTGGTCTTTAGGCATACTATGCGGCCGGCACCGGGGGCTTTGACGGCGCAGGTGCCCAAGACTACGGCAACGCCACGCAGGTCACT